TTATCGCCGTCACATCATAAAAAAGCCTTCAAGAAAAAAACAAAAACAGCAACAAAAGAAGTAACAGAATGGCGTGTACTACTTCTTCATGTGCTTAAAGGGGACCTGTCGTGACAAAAGCCTGGCTGATGGCTGTTATACTGACCCTCTGGCTTCAATACTTGGAAGGAGGATGCGGATGAGGACCTCTCTTTGATTTTCTTCACACGCGGACTTCTTTGGGGGGGGGGAGTCGGAAAGTGTTAAAGTCAGAGGAGCAGGATGACAAGATAGGCGACCGACATTTTTCAGATTGACCTCAGCAATGGTTTTCTCACGGCAGGTTTCCTTTAAAAACGAAAAACCCCCGAAATTCCCCAAACAGCACCAGAACATGTGAACCCCCCAGAGAGAAGATCCCCCTCAGTCAAGGCTGGCCCGGACTGCGGGGGGGGTATGGTGTCCGGAGAGAGACAAATAAATTAAATAAATAAGAAGAACGAGTGAACACATGAACAGGAAGTACAAACAAGATGGAGGTCATTCAGCAGCTTCAGTGATGTGCGTCCCCGATAATACAAACAACTAATCAGTCTAGTCCCTACACAATAAAATATATCATATATGTCTAAATATTCTCTCTATGTACTGCGTAGTCGAGGCAAAACCCATTAGCGGGTACACGTATGTCCAAACGCATGTATACACAGACACGCACGCCATGGCATGTTTCATGTAGACACGCAGCGGCCCTGGCTAGACACACAGCACGACTCTCTGCTACGGTTCACATAGAAAACACCATCGGGCCGGGTCGGGCCGTGAGACGTGGCTTTGTTCTCAGAGCTGCCACGTGTGCTGCGGTCATACAAAGTGCCAAGCTGTGACCAGCATGTGTGTCCCCCCCCCCACCGGCAGCCATCTTAACACTGTACATGTCTCCAACATGTGAGGCTTAGTCTCTCCTCCGCGTGCGCGCACAGGGTTGGTGAGGTAGGAATGAACGCACAACTTGCTGCAGTGCAGTGTCAGCACCAAGAGACAGAAAGGGGCCATAATACAGGCCTCTCTCTTGTGATGGTCACAGAAGGGTGGCGTGGCCGCTGGAATCGTCGGGCTCGGTGCTGGTCAGTATGGCAGCCCGGTCGTCAGACAGCGAACGGTGGCAAAGCTCATCCCTCAGAGCGGACAGGCGAGACAGGGGGTCTTGTCGAGCCGGACGCTTCTTCCTACGGATGCAGCGAGTGTCAGTATACATGGCTGTGGCCGGCTGGTGGACCTGCGAGGTGGATCCATCTGGTGGAGAGAAGACAGTGAGCATTAACTCCCGTACACGGAGACATTTCTACGCCGCGTCACAGAGAAATGAGGAGAGCAGGAGGTGGTGGGCTAGATCACATGACCATCGGAGAAGGACCTGAAATGGATAGAAGGACTAGAACAGCTTTTCTCAACCAGAGTGCCTGGAAATGTTCTCCTAGCGCCATGCCTTTCCATAGTGGAGGTGGGCCTGGCCAACAACAACATGGAAACGAAGCATCCAGAGAGGACGGAACCCAAAGGACGGAGGTTCTCCTCCATCCAGGCCTGCTCTACCTCCTGCCCTCTGCTATGCTACCGTAGCTTCAGCTCCTGATGGTAGGACGTGAAGGGTGGACTCTGATACCAAAGGGGCCTCCTTAAGGTCTCGTTCACACCTAGGCGTATTGCATATGCGCGTCTGTCGCGCGACCGTCACGCTTTTTTTACCGCGATCCGCGGGGAAAAAGTCGCGCGACAAACGCGCGTTTCCGAAGGCTACTTGGCTGTATCCCAATGGAAACGCGCAACAAAACGGCCCAAAGTAGTACCTGTACCTTTTCAGGCGTGGGCTGTTTTGTAGCGCGTTAGGGACGGGCGGAAATACGCCGAGGTGGCAACCAGACCATTGAATACAATGGGATTTATATTTTTGAGCGTTTTGTAGAGCGTTCGTCGAGCGTAGAACCCGCTACAAAACGTTCAGGTGTGAACGAGGGCTCAGTGAAGGATGGAACTCCTAATGTAAACTGGGCCCCCAATGTGAAGGAGAGAGAGTCTGAGGTAAAAGGGCGAGACTCAAATGTGAAGGGGGCTCCTAATGTAAAGGGGGAATTCTGTGAAAGCAAGGGGGGGCTCTGATGAGGAGGGGGTTCTTACTATAAAGGGGGGTCCTGATTTGAAGGGATGAACCCCACTTTTGTTGTGTTTTTGCATGGGGTTTCCTCTTAAAAACCATACAAGACCCCCCTCATCTCGGATACGAGTCTCCTATGAAGGCCACACGTCTTTTTTTTTACATTTTAGCCTGGGGCGCCTCAAGGTTTTGCATACCAAGGCGGCCGTGACTGGAAAAAGGTTGAGAAATGCTGGACCAGAAAGAGACTTCACTACGTTGTTTTTATGCGCAGCAGATTATACAGACATCACTAGATTCAGCCGTTCTTACCAGAGTGCTTCCTGGACTTTGATCTGCCCTTGCTAGATTTTTTGGGCTTATGGATGCGGTCATCTATGACTTCAGACCTCTCAGGTACAGCAGCTAACCCGAGCCTGGAGGGGGAGAAGAGAACGGTCAGAGTCACAGAGGGAACAATCTGACCCTTCACCTCTCTGCTATGGCAATCTGGGAGTTGAAGAGCCTCTAGAAGACACCTTCACCCCATCTAAGCGCATGTCTGCGTGTTCGTATGAAGCGCACAGGGAGTGATCAGCCGGACGGAGGCCCTCCTCAGCTATATGACATCCTGCTAATACAATGGCGTCCTGCAGTGCGCACCCTTTCATCATCAGCTTCCAAGAGGTCCATTCAAACACAAGGGCCATCTACCGGACAGTAGGCACTGCCAGTATAGAAAGCTGCCAACTCCAAAGATGACCAGACAATCCCAGTAACCCATGGCAACCGATCAGATTTCAGCCTTCTGAAGCGCGCTTAGAGAAGGATGACGTTTTGATTGGTAGCTCTGAATTACCGCTCTACGCTTTATGTAATAAGACAATAAGGTCTTCTTCACACCATATCCATTGAGCTGGGTTCTCCTGCACACCACTGCACGTGTATGGCGTGAACAGGCCACACGGAACACAACTGGAAGTGGTTCACACCATACGTGTGCAGAAGAACGCGGCTCAACGGACATGGTGCCAACGAGCCCTAAGTGTGGTGTAACTCCAAGGGAGGGGGAAGGGGGATCTTCTCACACTCTGCAGCCAATCACACTGCTTCATACCACACATCATAAATATTAGGGATGCACCGATACCACTTTTTTTTTACGACCGAGTACCGATACTTTTGCTCAAGTACTCGCCGATACCGATACTTTTTCTTAAAGAGACAGGTCACATTTTTTCTAAAGCAATACAAACGAATGATTTAAGGTCAGTTTCTTAATATTATGATTCATGAGATGACGAGGGAGCATGACGCCGCCTTTCCGGCCAATCAGAATGCCGGCGCTGCGTCATTACACGGCTTCCGGATTTGCTAGCTTCCTGACCAATCGGGAAGCCAGGCAGAGCGTCATTACACGATACCCGGCTTCCTGATTGGCCGGGAAGTCGGCTCCATGCTCTCTCATCACAAGTGACGAGAGAGCAGGGAGCCGTTTCCCGGCCAATAAGGAAACCGGGCGCCGTGTAATGACGTGCTGCCCGGCTTCCTGATACAGGAAGTACTCGTGCTAGGCATCGGAGCATTTGGGCGAGTACGAGTACCAGCCCAAATACTCGGTATCGGCACCGATACTGATCGGTATCGGTGCATCACTAACAAATATATTGTGTGATTTCATTGGATGGACATGTGGAGGTTATTTCTCTGCCCTCTAAAGCCCCGTTCACATTGAGCGATTTATCGTGCGGTAATTCCCGCGATATCGCGGCAACTTACCGCGCGATATCGCGCTCCAATGCATTTCAATGGGGCAAAGGGCCCTGCTGTCGCGGGTCGTGTGTCGCTACAGCAGGACCCTTTTTGGAGCGGATTTAGCCGCGATTCAAGCTTGCTCAATGCAAGCTTGAACGCGATATCGCGCTGCAAATCTCGCGATGTCGCGCAATATGCAAATCGCGCAAAAAAAGGCGCGATTTGTTACATAGTTACATAGTATTTGAGGTTGAATAAAGACATATGTCCATCAAGTCCAACCCATTGTGTGTGTGTGTGGGTGTAAAGATCCTCGCGTCATCTCGTTATTAGGAGTACTTGTACCCCTGTATATTACCTGTACCCCTGTATATTACCTGTACCCCTGTATATTACCTGTACCCCTGTATGCTACCTGTACCCCTGTATATTACCTGTACCCCTGTATATTACCTGTACCCCTGTATATTACCTGTACCCCTGTATATTACCGTTTCTCAGGAAATCGTCCAAAAGCCTCTTGAATGATTCCAGACTATTAGCTGAAATCACTGCTTGCGGCAGTGAGTATATAATTTGCATATCGCGCAGTGGGAACGGGGCCTTACAGATCACTGTGTAATATTGTCATCCATCTAGTCCAGGGGTAGCAAACCTCCGGGCCCTCCAGCTGGGGGTGCAACCACAAATCCCATGAGGCATTGCAAGATTCTCACAGCCACAGACATGACTCCCGGAGAGAGATGCATCATGGGATTTGTAGTTCCACCACAGCTGGAGGGCCGGAGGTTTGCTACCCCTGATCTCTAATGACCGGGAGCCTGCGGGGGGTCCATTTATAAAATGTCAAAAATATTTCATCTTTTGTCCCAGGTGATGTGGGTCGTAGCTCAGGACCGATTGTGTTTCGTCCTTTTACCTCACCAATCTGCTTTACTTTGTAATATTCTTACGTTTCATCTCACCATTGCTCATTCAAATGAAACGTTTATACATTGGAAATGGTGCGTGGTGCCCAATGAGATAACAACAAAACAAACAAATGATTTAGCCAATCTTTATAACTGGGCTCCTGCACACTGAACAGCAGAGGTGACACTAATACAATGATACGGTGAATGGAACGTTAAAGAGGTTTTCGGTTCCAGAGAGGGATCTGGTCTGCTGGTCACAGAATCTGTGTAATGACAGCGTGGACGGGGTACGTGGACGACTCATCCGAGATCATTACGTCGGACAACTCATTCCAAATGTTTGTATCTACGTTTTAGGGCAGCGGTTTGTGTAACCTCAGGACCCACATTTGTCCTGGGCCATTAAGTCGTGACCCAAGTTGCTCCGCAATGGAACGCACGGCATTGCGGTACAGATCCACCCGGTCTCCCTATCTTATGAGAACTGGAGTGGATCCTCAGCCTGCGGTCCAGTGTCGGCTGCTGTGCTGTGATGGAGCTCCATCCATATGGGCATTGCTTGTGCAGCTCCCTTGCGTGCCCTGTAGAGGTGCTGGGAGCCAGAATGTGACGTCACTCCGGTCCAGGCACCTCTAGAGGGCAAGCGAGGGAGCTGCAAGCAACGCATGTATGGATGGGGCTCCCTCGGGGCCATGGCCCCATCTCACCCCACCTCAAGCTGACACTCGGCCCCGGGCAGCATAGTTTGAATGGCTGCTTGGCCCGAGAACTGACAATGCTGCTCCAAGGGGAGGCTGTGGAGCCTCATCTAGAAAAGTGGAAGGCATGCGGCGACCCACTGAACACGGGGTCACGACCCACCAGTTGAGAACCGAGGTCTTAGGGGATTGTGTTAGCCAATCAGGTGCAGATCCTCACCTGATGAACTACAACATGCATAGTAATGCTACTTTTATCAAAAATGATGAGGACAAGCTTTGAGTATAGATATTTTGTAATGTGAACTTCCCGGACTAATCATTCTACCAATGGGGAGACCACTGTACAGGAGAGGCAGCCTTGGGTCTGTTATAACAGTATGAGCACCAAAGGACCATATGTGTGTGGAAAGTGTGCTAAACATGCTACCTACAACATGAAATGTTAACTTTAGGACACGGCTCATATATCATGGACCCAAAGCAACACCAGAGAACCCCCCCCACGTACCAGTTTTGCCCCACTGTGCAGGTTTTCTATGGGATATGGCATTGTAATGTGAATTATCCGGCCGTTTCTCTGTATGGGCTGGCAGGACACCGCGAGAGCGGATCCCGACATAATTGTCGGGATCCGCTTGAGCTGCGGCGTCTCAGTATACCGCGAGCTGCAGCTCCCTATATACTGAGCCTAGGGTGACGGGAGGACGCTAGTTTGTGTCCTCCCGTTACCCTAAGGAGAGCTATGGGGAAAAGACTTAACCCCCATAGTTCTCCTTTAAGCAGCAGATTGCCACCATCTGCACATGGGGACACTTCTTGCCCACAATCAAACACTCTGATATGTCTAAGCTACAGGCAGCCCGATTTCAGCTGAAGGAAGAGCGTGCTACAAAATGTTCCTGTCTCCAAAAGTGGAAATCATCAGCACTCAGTAATTATCTTTGATGTCCATTTAAATCGGACCAATCGTCAATTGTCATGTACAAAATGGCGATGTTTCGGGACCGCACAGGATCCCTTCATCAGGGCGTTCGGGACAATGTAAAGCCCAGACATATCAGAGTGTTTGATTGGTCCGATTAAATGGACATTAAAGATATTTACTGAGTGCTGATGATTTCCGCTTTCCACTGTTTGTTGCACGGCGCCATCCGTGATTGTCACTGCGAGCACCACTACAAGTACTTGGGCCGGGAGCGCTGTGAGGAGTGCAGAGGGACTTACTATTTTCTACACTGTCTCCAAAAGGAGATGATCTGCCCTCTCCTGATGATGGTGAGCCTTGTCTAAGCTCCTGTACTCCACCCAGACCCCTGACAATGGTGGAGAGTAAGGTTCGGGGGAGGGGGGGTGCATTAGAGGGTCCGTGCTTGCTGAGGTCACAGAACATACATACAGACAGTCCTGCCATGTACTAGTCATTAGCGTAAGTCATAAAACTACAGCAACTGCTTTGCCCTGAAAATCTCTGAATGTGATGAATGAATATTTGATGTGGGTTTCAGCTCTGGATGGAAGAGAGTGTTATTTCTGATGTGAACTGCACTCAATAAAAACCTCAATTTATAGAACAGCGCTGTCATTACACATATTCTGGAGCCTGCACTCAGAATGGACTCCTTCCACACGTGGCAGGGCACCTGGTCTGGTCAGAGAAGGACACTTTACCTTCTCACTGATGTTCCTGATCTATTTCGGTAGAATACGGTATAGTTGTAGCAAGAGAGGAACCAGAAACACCCCACAACCTGCGTGCTCCCATGGCTTCCTGCGTGCTTCCATGGCTTCCTGCGTGCTCCCATGGCTTCCTGCGTGCTCCCATGGCGTCCTGCGTGCTCCCATGGCGTCCTGCGTGCTCCCATGGCTTCCTGCGTGCTCCCATGGCTTCCTGCGTGCTCCCATGGCGTCCTGCGTGCTCCCATGGCTTCCTGCGTGCTCTCATGGCTCCCTGCGTGCTCCCATGGCTTCCTGCGTGCTCCCATGGCTTCCTGCGTGCTCCCATGGCTTCCTGCGTGCTCCCATGGCGTCCTGCGTGCTCCCATGGCTTCCTGCGTGCTCCCATGGCTT